TTTTGATGTTTTGTATGTTCAGATATTCATGTAACAAAATATATTCAAATGAATACCTAAATAGGGACATGGTAGTATACTTCAAGTATGATGTAAAGTTCACTTAAAGAAAACTTACGAGTGTACTTGCAGTATAAAACTACAAAACTAGTAGTTTACTGAGACTATACTTCAAAGTGTACTAAAAATGCTACTACAATTATTTAATTAGTAAACTATCAGTATACCTATAAGTTCACTTTTAGTGCAGAACAAACTAAAAACATAGATGTAAACTAGTTATGTACTCAAAGTTTACTACTGTTATACTTAAAGTATACTTAAAAGTATCAATTTATATACTAGAAAGTGGGCCAATTTAGTCCCAAGGAGTATTGAAATAGTACACTTACAAGTATACTACTGGTACACTGATATTTGTATACTTACTACATAAAGTATACTTAAAAATATACTTGAACTTTACTTAAGTATACTTAATAAAATAAACTTGAAGTATACTTCTTTTTGGAAAGGGTTTATAGTCTCCAAATTTGAATTTTGAGTTTCATCACACAGTCAGCTATGGGAATATTAACTCTATAAAGCCTAATATTTGATACACACATTTCTAAGGCCTCTAAAGGATCAGCATGATGCTGTTAAACCTGTTTCACACACAATCTCCTCCATGCCTTCAATCGTCTGATTGATAGTTTAGATGATCAAGTAAAAGCTCTTTTCGTGTAACTCTACAAACGTCCAGCTTCAGCTTCACGTGTCTTTCTGCTCTCAAATCTTCACTGCTTTTGATCAAGTAAGCGTCAGAATAAGTGCAGTCATATCTCCAGATGAACACTTACTGCACTGAAGCAGCTCAGCTTTACTTGATTCTCCATCAATCATGTTTTAGAGTCTCAAATCTGATCCTCAGGATCTTTTGAGGAGCGTTTGTTTCCAGAAGCTTTACTTTCACTGTTCCTCAGCGGAGGAATGATCTTCACAAGCCTCCAGAACATCTCACATCTTCTGAGGAGCCTTTATTTCTTCAGCTCTCCATCACTGCATTATATGTTTGGATCATTTCAATCTCATCTTACTAAGACATGTTATTGGAGATATAGAGTGACCACTGATATTTATTATATAATTTATGTCAGTATCTTCTGAACTGTTATATAGATCTGATTAATTTACATCACAAGCATCAAAATGTCTTACTTTTTGTCCATACAAATATCAGCATCTGCACCAAATTGCATATTTATATATATTACAAACTGCAAATTGCTTATTCTGAGTCTCTGAATAAAAACGGAGCTGTTTTTTTCCCTCCATATTCTCACTATGAGTCATAAAAGCCTGATATATAAAATATATTTTTTCTGTTCTGTTCTATTCTGAACTGTTCCATTTCAAAAACTTATATTTTTTCTGACTATGTCAAGCTTTACAGGAAGCCTTTATAAGGTCATTATATATAAATAACTGGTGTGTTGTGTTTTTCTCACTGGAGGTTGTCGTTCTGATTGGCGGTGGTGTCGGCGTAGGTCTTCAGAGCCTTCTGGAACTCCTCGAGATCATTCTCTGTCACGCTCATCTGTCTCTGCACCAGCAGAATGTTCTAGACGAGAGCAGAAAGAAACACAGCCATCAGCTGACTACTGGAGAGAGAACTAATGCTATAGCTTGGGGTTTCATGCAGAACATGTGAGTGTTTCTGCTGGACATCTGAGCATTATGTAGAATCTGTCGTTATTCATTCACTCGTGTATGATGCAGTGATTTTAGAATACAATGAAAGTGCATGGCCTTGTGATAAAAGAAGTGTATTGAATGTGTGCTTGTAGTGCACTTCAAAACTTAAAAGTACATAAAAAAAAATACCTTTCTTGTAAATAATATAATATTAATGAAATAAAAGGCCACTTAAGTGTACTTAAAAAGAGAACACTTTCATGACTGTTTCTTAAATACACTTGTTTCTAAAAGTACACTATGTAATAACGTCAAATTTAAAGTTTTACTTTGAGGTACATTTTAAGTCATGATCTTTTGTCATGTTTTAAAGAAGTACACTTATTTTGTTGTGTTTATGAAAATACTAAAGCACATGTAAAGTACTTAATTATAATTTGAACTGTCGTGTGTTCTTGGATAATACATTTAAAGAAATCTATTTTAAATGCACTAAATTTCATCATCATTACAAATGTGTAATTACAAATATATTTAAATACGTGATATACAAGTAAAAAAAAAAAGACATTATATTTTAGATTACCATAAATGCCCATCAGTACATTCAGAAACCACGTTTCAAAGACAATCGAAGTAAAAAGATATACTTAAGTCCTGCTTGTGTCAAAAATCACTCTAAAGTTGTAGTTATGATATGATACTTTCATTTAATTGTACTTAACATGCAGTTAAGTGTCTAAAACATTTTATTCAGTATTATGTATTTTATTTTCATAACAAGTACTCTTTTTTAAAAGTATGCTAAGGTGTGCTTATTTTCCACAAGAGGTCAAGCTTCAAAAAGCACACAAAAGGTCCAGAAAGGCACAGCCGTCCATTATATGACTCATATGTGCTTTATTTGAAAGGAACAGACTGAAAATTAAATTGTTATTCACTGATAAATTTCCCGTATTACCCGCTGAGACTGGATCAGTGATGTGAATGAATCATTCAGACAGATTCTGTGAACTGAAAAGATCTGACTCAAAAGATTAATTTTTGAGTTGAATGACTTAATCATGTTTTTCACAATTTTGCTGAACTTCAGCTGATCCTACACTTCTGTTCACTCTTTGCATTCATCCACTATTGATTTTCATTCAAAATGTTGTATTTTTCTTTATAACTGCATTTCTAAAAAATTCCAGATTTCTCCTAATAGTCTTTTAACAAAGTTTAACATGGCGAGTTCTTGCATTAAGATGCATCAGATATAAAACATGGACTGGATTTATGAAGCGGCGGATCGGATCACTCACCGACTTGTACGTGCTGGCCAGTGTATCTTCTTTCAGCGGCTCCAACTTTGGACTCTAAAAATGAAAAGCAAATGAAAATTGGCTTGGAACATGATATATTAAAACACATGCTCAAGACAGAAAGAATATTCTGTGTGAGTGGATATTTGAGTGTATTCACCTGACACTCCAGTTTGTCGATGAGCTGTTGCAGTCTGTTGATCTGAGAGCACCAGTGCTCATCTGTATCTACGGTAACGCCTGAGACGCCACACACACCAGCACTCAGTACACAACTCCACTCATCACAAGCATGGTTATAACTGTTATGACGTATGCCCTCTTTTTTACAGACATGTCCTGGCCGGGATTTCTAAATTGCCTAAAATGTCTGGATTTTTGCTTTGTTTTCCTGTTGTTTTCATACTTGCTGAATGCATTGACTGAAAAGTAGTTTAACCAGTAGCATGCAGGCATTGTACATAATCGACCAATCGTGGCAGGAGAGAAGGCGGGATCTACAGGGAATGGTCAAAGCAATGCAGGTACGTGTACAAATAATGTAATGAGGACTGTAGAGAGAAGGTCAAAGGGAAACAAAGACAAAATGTCATGCAGGACATCTTCTGGGAAAAAAGAGGAAAATAAAACTAAAACTTTAAAAAACGTTTTTATTTAAAATTATGCCGCAATAAAATAAATTTATGAATATTACATAATATTTGTATTTTAGTGTAATAATATTACATAATATTACACTAAAATACCTCATATTTATATTACATAATATTACACTAAAATTAAAATAAATTAAAACTAAAACTGAACTAAATCAGAAATAAAAAATAAATTAAACATAATTAGTGATATTGTTTTTAAATTACAAAATTAGAAAATATTAACCTTAAAAAAAATCACCTTACTAACTAATATTATTAGGAGATATAGAGCAACAACTGATATTTATATGCATTTAAATATCTATCTGCATACCAATATCTATCTATATGCATACTGTTATAAAGATCTCACTGATTTACAAGACAAGCTATCAGAATTCCATCTAACTTATTTGGCCATATAAATATCATCATCTGCACCAAATAGCATATTTTTGCTTAGTTTGAGTCTCTGAATAAAACTAAGGTGTTTTTTTTCCTCCTTGAGTATGAACTCCATATTTCCTAAAATTAAAATAAAACCTTCAAACAAATAAATAAATACTTTTCAAAAAGCTAATGCAAAATATACGGTCTGTACAGTATAAAAACCATTACGCCTATAGGATGTCCCCACTTTTCACAAAAACAAACCTGTGTGTGTGTGTGTGTGTGTGTGAGTGAGTGAGTGAGTGAGTGTGTGTGTGTGTGTGTGTGTGTGTGTGTGAGTGAGTGAGTGAGTGAGTGTGTGTGTGTGTGTGTGTGTGTGCAAATTGCTTATTCTGAGTCTCTGAATAAAAACGGAGCTGTTTTTTTCCCTCCATATTCTCACTATGAGTCATAAAAGCCTGATATATAAAATATATTTTTTCTGTTCTGTTCTATTCTGAACTGTTCCATTTCAAAAACTTATATTTTTTCTGACTATGTCAAGCTTTACAGGAAGCCTTTATAAGGTCATTATATATAAATAACTGGTGTGTTGTGTTTTTCTCACTGGAGGTTGTCGTTCTGATTGGCGGTGGTGTCGGCGTAGGTCTTCAGAGCCTTCTGGAACTCCTCGAGATCATTCTCTGTCACGCTCATCTGTCTCTGCACCAGCAGAATGTTCTAGACGAGAGCAGAAAGAAACACAGCCATCAGCTGACTACTGGAGAGAGAACTAATGCTATAGCTTGGGGTTTCATGCAGAACATGTGAGTGTTTCTGCTGGACATCTGAGCATTATGTAGAATCTGTCGTTATTCATTCACTCGTGTATGATGCAGTGATTTTAGAATACAATGAAAGTGCATGGCCTTGTGATAAAAGAAGTGTACTGAATGTGTGCTTGTAGTGCACTTCAAAACATAAAAGTACATAAAAGAAATACCTTTCTTGTAAATAATATAATATTAATGAAATAAAAGGCCACTTAAGTGTACTTAAAAAGAGAACACTTTCATGACTGTTTCTTAAATACACTTGTTTCTAAAAGTACACTATGTAATAACGTCAAATTTAAAGTTTTACTTTGAGGTACATTTTAAGTCATGATCTTTTGTCATGTTTTAAAGAAGTACACTTATTTTGTCACTTATTTTGTTGTGTTTATGAAAATACTAAAGCACATGTAAAGTACTTAATTATAATTTGAACTGTCGTGTGTTCTTGGATAATACATTTAAAGAAATCTATTTTAAATGCACTAAATTTCATCATCATTACAAATGTGTAATTACAAATATATTTAAATACGTGATATACAAGTAAAAAAAAAAGACATTATATTTTAGATTACCATAAATGCCCATCAGTACATTCAGAAACCACGTTTCAAAGACAATAGAAGTAAAAAGATATACTTAAGTCCTGCTTGTGTCAAAAATCACTCTAAAGTTGTAGTTATGATATGATACTTTCATTTAATTGTACTTAACATGCAGTTAAGTGTCTAAAACATTTTATTCAGTATTATGTATTTTATTTTCATAACAAGTACTCTTTTTTAAAAGTATGCTAAGGTGTGCTTATTTTCCACAAGAGGTCAAGCTTCAAAAAGCACACAAAAGGTCCAGAAAGGCACAGCCGTCCATTATATGACTCATATGTGCTTTATTTGAAAGGAACAGACTGAAAATTAAATTGTTATTCACTGATAAATTTCCCGTATTACCCGCTGAGACTGGATCAGTGATGTGAATGAATCATTCAGACAGATTCTGTGAACTGAAAAGATCTGACTCAAAAGATTAATTTTTGAGTTGAATGACTTAATCATGTTTTTCACAATTTTGCTGAACTTCAGCTGATCCTACACTTCTGTTCACTCTTTGCATTCATCCACTATTGATTTTCATTCAAAATGTTGTATTTTTCTTTATAACTGCATTTCTAAAAAATTCCAGATTTCTCCTAATAGTCTTTTAACAAAGTTTAACATGGCGAGTTCTTGCATTATGATGCATCAGATATAAAACATGGACTGGATTTATGAAGCGGCGGATCGGATCACTCACCGACTTGTACGTGCTGGCCAGTGTATCTTCTTTCAGCGGCTCCAACTTTGGACTCTAAAAATGAAAAGCAAATGAAAATTGGCTTGGAACATGATATATTAAAACACATGCTCAAGACAGAAAGAATATTCTGTGTGAGTGGATATTCACTTATTTTGTTGTGTTTATGAAAATACTAAAGCACATGTAAAGTACTTAATTATAATTTGAACTGTCGTGTGTTCTTGGATAATACATTTAAAGAAATCTATTTTAAATGCACTAAATTTCATCATCATTACAAATGTGTAATTACAAATATATTTAAATACGTGATATACAAGTAAAAAAAAAAGAGACATTATATTTTAGATTACCATAAATGCCCATCAGTACATTCAGAAACCACGTTTCAAAGACAATCGAAGTAAAAAGATATACTTAAGTCCTGCTTGTGTCAAAAATCACTCTAAAGTTGTAGTTATGATATGATACTTTCATTTAATTGTACTTAACATGCAGTTAAGTGTCTAAAACATTTTATTCAGTATTATGTATTTTATTTTCATAACAAGTACTCTTTTTTAAAAGTATGCTAAGGTGTGCTTATTTTCCACAAGAGGTCAAGCTTCAAAAAGCACACAAAAGGTCCAGAAAGGCACAGCCGTCCATTATATGACTCATATGTGCTTTATTTGAAAGGAACAGACTGAAAATTAAATTGTTATTCACTGATAAATTTCCCGTATTACCCGCTGAGACTGGATCAGTGATGTGAATGAATCATTCAGACAGATTCTGTGAACTGAAAAGATCTGACTCAAAAGATTAATTTTTGAGTTGAATGACTTAATCATGTTTTTCACAATTTTGCTGAACTTCAGCTGATCCTACACTTCTGTTCACTCTTTGCATTCATCCACTATTGATTTTCATTCAAAATGTTGTATTTTTCTTTATAACTGCATTTCTAAAAAATTCCAGATTTCTCCTAATAGTCTTTTAACAAAGTTTAACATGGCGAGTTCTTGCATTAAGATGCATCAGATATAAAACATGGACTGGATTTATGAAGCGGCGGATCGGATCACTCACCGACTTGTACGTGCTGGCCAGTGTATCTTCTTTCAGCGGCTCCAACTTTGGACTCTAAAAATGAAAAGCAAATGAAAATTGGCTTGGAACATGATATATTAAAACACATGCTCAAGACAGAAAGAATATTCTGTGTGAGTGGATATTTGAGTGTATTCACCTGACACTCCAGTTTGTCGATGAGCTGTTGCAGTCTGTTGATCTGAGAGCACCAGTGCTCATCTGTATCTACGGTAACGCCTGAGACGCCACACACACCAGCACTCAGTACACAACTCCACTCATCACAAGCATGGTTATAACTGTTATGACGTATGCCCTCTTTTTTACAGACATGTCCTAGCCGGGATTTCTAAATTGCCTAAAATGTCTGGATTTTTGCTTTGTTTTCCTGTTGTTTTCATACTTGCTGAATGCATTGACTGAAAAGTAGTTTAACCAGTAGCATGCAGGCATTGTACATAATCGACCAATCGTGGCAGGAGAGAAGGCGGGATCTACAGGGAATGGTCAAAGCAATGCAGGTACGTGTACAAATAATGTAATGAGGACTGTAGAGAGAAGGTCAAAGGGAAACAAAGACAAAATGTCATGCAGGACATCTTCTGGGAAAAAAGAGGAAAATAAAACTAAAACTTTAAAAAACGTTTTTATTTAAAATTATGCCGCAATAAAATAAATTTATGAATATTACATAATATTTGTATTTTAGTGTAATAATATTACATAATATTACACTAAAATACCTCATATTTATATTACATAATATTACACTAAAATTAAAATAAATTAAAACTAAAACTGAACTAAATCAGAAATAAAAAATAAATTAAACATAATTAGTGATATTGTTTTTAAATTACAAAATTAGAAAATATTAACCTTAAAAAAAATCACCTTACTAACTAATATTATTAGGAGATATAGAGCAACAACTGATATTTATATGCATTTAAATATCTATCTGCATACCAATATCTATCTATATGCATACTGTTATAAAGATCTCACTGATTTACAAGACAAGCTATCAGAATTCCATCTAACTTATTTGGCCATATAAATATCATCATCTGCACCAAATAGCATATTTTTGCTTAGTTTGAGTCTCTGAATAAAACTAAGGTGTTTTTTTTCCTCCTTGAGTATGAACTCCATATTTCCTAAAATTAAAATAAAACCTTCAAACAAAAAAATAAATACTTTTCAAAAAGCTAATGCAAAATATACGGTCTGTACAGTATAAAAACCATTACGCCTATAGGATGTCCCCACTTTTCACAAAAACAAACCTGTGTGTGTGTGTGTGTGTGTGTGAGTGAGTGAGTGAGTGAGTGTGTGTGTGTGTGTGTGTGTGTGTGTGTGAGTGTGTGTGTGCGTGTGTGCGTGTGTGTGTGTGTGTGTGTGTGTGTGTGTGTGTGTGTGTGAGAGTGTGTGCGTGAGTGCGTGAGTGTTTGTGTGTGTGTGTATATGTGTGTGTGTGAGTGAGTGAGTGAGTGTGTGTGTGTGTGTGTGTGTGTGTTACCGGTAGTGAGAATGCCCGAGTATGGATCAGTCGGGGACAGACACATGTTCTTCTGCACTCGACGGCCACATCTTCTGTTGTTCTTCTGTATGATGAGATGCTCCGGGACTTTAACTTCAACCCTACAGAGGAAAACAGCACAGAATTTATGTTAATGTTCTGCATCATTGGAAAGAATGTTTTTGTGCTTAAAATATGAAACTTATGTGTTTGTATATGCACTGTTTTCAGTAATATAGTGCTTAAAACTAGATGCATTCAGTGTGTGTTGTTTTTAGCGAATATATATCTTGAATGTCTTTAATCGTGTCCAGTGCGAGCAGCCGAGCGGATGGCAGGTTTGACAAAGCGCAGCTGGTAAGTGAAAGGACACGGCGTCTGCACTTCTGTGTTCACTGCCAAGAACTGATGAGCACAAGCGAATAACATTGAATGAAAATAACCTTGTCAACGCTGTAACCCTGCTGACGTCACACACATATGTTCACATGAGTCAGAAGTCTCTCTCAAGGCTGTTGTTGACCCACTTCTGCTATTATCATCACCATCAATGTTCCCTTCGAGCGCACATTTCTGATGTAACAGACCACAGACTCAAAAACGTGTGGAAAGGCTAGAGATTTCTGTGGTACAGATGATATTCAGCGGATATCATCTGCATATGTATTGATTTTCAGTATGAAACTGAAGCTGGGAGAATTGTTTTGCTGAAATACGCAGCACTGATTAATTTATGAGACAAGCTGAGTAAAAGAACAGAAATGAGATGTTCACAGCACCAAACACGATTATAAAACTGTCCATGATTTATTATTCTCATTAATTAAACAACAAAATTAATATCTGCAAAAAATACCTTGATAACATAATATTAAGTAACTTTGGACTAGCTTTACTTTTTATAGAACAAACTGGACGAGAGGCCTGATATAATATATAGTGTTAAGTGCAGTTACATAGATACACCTTTATGCATTAGTGAGCACTGAATCATTCATTCAACTGATTCACTCAAAAACACTGAATCAATCAGTAACGAAACAAATGTCTTAATGAGTGAGTCACTGAATCAGCCAATTCACTCAACAACACAGAATCAATAATGAAAAAAGTGCTTTTAGTGAGTCACTGAGTCGTTCATTCAACGATTCACTCAACAACACTGAATCATTCAGTAACGAGACAAGTGGCTTTATGAGCGAGTCATTAAATTATTCATTCAACTGATTCTTTCAACAACACTGAATCATTTAGAAACTAAACAAGTGGCTTTATGAGTAAGTCACTGAATCACTCATTCAACTGATTCTTTCAATAACACTGAATCATTCAGAAATGAAACAAGTGCTTTGAGTGAGTCACTGAGTCATTCATTCAACCAATTCACTCAACAACATTGACTCATTCCGTAAGGAGACAAGTGGCTTTATGAGTGAGTCATTGAATTATTTATTCAATCAATTCACTCTGAATCATTCAGTAATGAAACAAGTGTCTTAATGAGTGAGTCATTAAGTCATAGGCTGAACCATTCAAAAACGTTTTATTTGGAACTATTTTCGTTAGTGGAACAAAAACAGATAACTTGTAAGTTACTAAATACTAAATTATTGTTTACCTAACTGTACAATAAAAGCAATATATTCGCAATATTGCTGAAGTGTAAATACCATTTTCCTCTTTTTTACACTTGTAAACAGCCGTGTTACATAAAATATCATGCACAATTTTCTAGCACGGTCAAGTTAGCCCCAAAATGCCATAACTGTCATTCAGACAATTGTGAATGTTAATTCATGTGTTCTCCACGTAGTATAGACCTATGTAAAAATGACACAATGAAGAAGTGAACAAAGCGTCTGAACTCCAGATCAGCAAGAAGACAAACCAGAGGAAAACCTGTCAATAAAAAGTCTGTAATCCTGAAGCCATAACATCAAGAAATTATTCTTCTGTTTACAGGACTACGATAAACTGGGCTCTCGTTGCTGTTTATGGGAACCCGCTGAACTGTACAGGCAGTCGTGTTATGAAATCTTCCTAATGGGGCTTTTCTGTTTGACAAAGGGGAATTACAGTCGGGGAGAAATAACAGCAGAAATGTTCTTTCACTTATTGAGCGATTAGTAGCAAACAAAAACATATGCAAACATTTTCCTGTTGTTCCGTCGCATTAAGAGCTCTTCGGAGAATGTTTCTGTGACAGCTGCTTCGTGAGGAAGAGAATACCCTACGGATAAACAAGACAAATGTGCTTCATCATGAAGAAAACATTACATTACTTCTGCTGCTCTCTGTTCATCAGTTCTGTGTTTCTCCCTCTTTTTCTTTCCCTCGCTCTTAGAGATATTAAATGCTGAGACAGGTGAACATCCCTCAGCGAGCAAACACTGCACACTGCTAATAAAATAAAGGATCTTCAGTCATTCTTGCAGCACCTTCGGTTCACACAACCTTCTTCATGCCTAGAGCTATTTTTGGGTTCCTCTGGGTTTTCTGAAGAACCAGAAGTCTCCAGTCCTAGAAGAACACTTTTAGGTTCCTGTGAGGTCACAGGAGAACCTTTTTAAGTTCTTATGATTTATAAAGACATACAGGGTTCTTCTAAGACATCACAGGAATGTACAGTTCTTCTAAGCAGGCTTGTGTCCATTCAGGATTTAATAAAAAAAAAGAAGATGGATAGATAGATAGATAGATAGATAGATAGATAGATAGATAGAGATAGATAGATAGATAGATAGATAGATAGATAGATAGATAGATAGATAGATAGATAGATAGATAGATAGATAGATAGAACGATAGAACGATAGATAGGTTTTCCTCTCATCTGAACTGTAAGAGGAATTCTCCTAAGGTGTCACTGGAACTCCTTTCTGAAACCTTTATTTTTAGGAGTGCAAGACAGAAGAAGTGTTGTGCTTACAGTGTGTGTGTGTGTGTGTGTGTGTTT